ACTTCATTTATGCTATGATTCTAATCGCAAATATCATTTTTTTTTTAAAGTGTCAATTTCTGGTACTGCCTTTAACTCATTCTACCAAAAGTGACAAGATCCCTCGATGACAATAATTATCCCTCCACCCTCGACCCGACCCATCAAGCAGATAGGCACGCCATACCCACCCAGGTGAAACAAGACTCCTAAATTACTTCTCATCATCGTAATGAGAATACAAGCTGCACAGGTTAGAAAATAATGGCTTTGATTGGCGCAATCAAGTTAAGTTATCTAGCTCTCCAAAGCCTACGCACTCTTCAATCAAACGATGTCCCATTTTTACATTGTTTTCCATGTGTTTTCCTTGCCTTTGGATCGAGATGATACTCAAACTAAATCCAATTTAACGCAATTTTCTACCAGGCTTTGTGTTTTATCATCGTCCTGTCAACTTTTGGTGATAGAAAATGCAGCCGGGTCGCCCCCTTTTTCCTCTCCTCCCCCGTAACAATCAGTAAAGTCTGAAACATAGGCATAGTTACGATGATTAGTAAAACTTTGTTGTTGACATCACACATATGGATCTTACATTTACAATGTTATTGTCATATAAGTAAAGTGTAATAAATAATATAAACATAATCAGTATTGGCTTGAACCCGACCCCATTAAGGCCAAAGTACATAATAGTAAATCAGACTTGTTTTGATGCCGTAAACAGTTGCCAAGAACGATGAAAAAAGGGATATTCAGGATGTGCATGAGAGCAGATAATGACTCGAAATAGATATTGACCAAATATAGCCAGGGAAGCATGGGAGAGGGGATTCCGAAAGAGATCAATGCTCTACTTTGATATTGCGCAAAATTCATTGTATAGTGGCATCATTTTGTTAAAACTGGTCGTTAAAATGTGCAGGGAGTAAGATTTGGTAAACATCGGTAGTTTTTAACAATGACGACAAGTTACAATAATCTTTATTAATGATTTCTGTGCAGCAGATGATGTTATTGAAAAGCCTTCTATTGTCCTGAAATAAATATCGAGAAGAATCACGAAAAGTTAACAATACTCCACATGATATACAGCGCTGATTGGGTCTATATTTAGAAGAAAGGAATATGAATATATGTTCACGAATAAAAAACAAAACAAACAAGAACCCTTTGGTTGAAAAATTATTGTGTTTAACAAAAATGTCTGCATTTTGGAAAGATTCGCATTTAATTTTTTGTTTAAATTGAAAATGTATTAATAGCAACATAATTTTGTTGATAGATTTGTGATTACATTTTCTAAGTCGATCTGAATAACACATGAAATTATGATTATCTTCACATTATTAGGTCAGTCGTTTTTTTATTTACAGAGGAAAGTGCACTGGTAGAATTTGATATCACAGATACATAGGGTCCGTTTGACACCCATCTTTCAACAGGGGGTGAAGTGCAGCTCACCTTTAGGGTTTCTATGCAGATTATATTACCCCCCCCCTCCCCCCCCCCCCCGCCTTAGGAAAAAATGATATAAAAGGAATCAATTTTGAAAAGAGTGTAGATGATATTTTTCACACATGTCAAACTCAAAGGCAGGTCCATCAGACATAATCAGACGGTCACAGATGTTGTTTTCGTTCCGTGATGAACTTTGATGACTGATTTCGCGCGCTTTTTCACTTAGTCATTCCCGCCAAAACCATAGCCTACTGCTCCAGACCCGATATAATTTCTAATTGCGTGCGACGTTTATGATCGTATTGATCATGGTCTTGTTTGTTACTGACATTCCTTCAGTTGCATTCCTGATATTTATCTTCAATTGTGTTTTTTTCCTTAAAATAAATAAATTGAAGTCCACAAAAGTCGCGTCGCTAAAAGATTGCTCAACAGTCTTGTTTGGATTTCATAAGCGCGTGTCAATATTATTATATTTAGTGAGGACACACCCTCAAAGAAAAATTAAAGATTAACATATTAACGAGATTACTGCCTCCATAAAAACTAATACATTTCCCTGGTTAATCACAACTTATAAATAAAACAAACAATAGAGAAATGATTCCGTTAAATAGTAATCTACTTATTTTATCATGTTTGAGCAAACATATCAACATAATATCGCTGAGCAGAATTTCTTTTATTGAATTTGTTAATTTGTTTTCCTTTTTAGTTTGGGGCTATATACGGATTCATGAAACGGGAGAAACAAAACTAGGCTATGATAATACAAATCCATATATGAATTATTCAGTTGTTCTCTCTCTCTCTCTCTCTCTCTGCCACTAACCCACTTTCTCACAAACTCTACAGCAATCATCACTCAATTATTGATCTATCAAATGCCTAAACCATTATCGTTTAATGAATAATGGTTGAAGGAAGAGCCCGTAAAAATTATCATTGCGATTTTGCTCTCGAAAAACGATTTCAGCTCTTAATCAAACATTAATCTATCCATCGATAAATAAAATCAACCAATCATTCATGTTTTCAGACTATGATATCAATTATCAATAAATCAACAAAAAGGTCAGCAAGAGAGAGAGAGAGAGATGAACAAAAAATAAAATCGAATCTGTCCAACAGTCAATTTATCAAACAATTAAATAAATCCATGATTCATCCATCAATCACTGAGCTCTCAATGCACACTATCTTTCAAAGTTTAAGCATAAAATACACTGAAGAGAATTTTAAGTTTGTTGATTTTTATTATTTCGTGTCATTTTCACAAAAGCATCATTTTGTTTTTTTTCCTCAAAATTTTCAGTATTTATTTCATTATTTACAGAGACGAAACACATAAGCATAGTTTAATATCTACAAACATTTTTCTTCAAGTAACAAATCAAAAAGTGAATACCACATAGTATCCCGTCAGTATATCAAGCATTATGCTCCTTCGTTTTTTACTAGAACATTATAAGGTTTCGTTCTATTTAACCTGCGTCGCTTTCACAAAGAAAAAGAGGAGAAAGTTACACTACGCAATGACGTTTAGGATAATTTAAAGACAGTAAACTCTTAATAATACGCTACTGATGAAATACTTCTGGGGCACCTATAACCAATCCACAATCCTTACAACTAGTGGCCGTGAACCCCTAATAAATAACATTGCACTTTTTCAATTTTGTCTTACACCGAGGTGCAAGTCTTTGCACCGTTTATGACTCTATATAATCTCATATAGTAGAGTTCAATTTCCGTCCTGCTAAGTCTTAATACTTTAACCCGAAACGAGCACAGTTTTCATTTTGTTTAATGAGCCACACCTGAAATTCATCTCCTATAGATGTCTGACAATAATGCCCCTTTTTTAAATCACCATCTTTAAGAATAGTTGTATTTTATGCAGTATTATTTACAATGTGAATAGTAGTTTCTTAATCTGTTTCAATTACAAATTCTTTCACGTCTGAATCTGTAATTGGGCCATTAGTACATTATTACATTTACTTTATATGTGGGACATAACATTCATGTTGAGTATAAAATAAACTTTGTTGATATTCAATACCAAAAAAGGAAGAAATGAATATGAAAACGAGAGTATTCCTAGTAACTCATTTCTAATTTATATCAAGAAAGACAATGGTGCAAAATAAAAATTCAAACTAAATGAATTTGAAATTGTACTTCATTAAAATGTTGATTATTCTATAAATTGATAGAGATGGTGCACATATTAGATAAACACACATTGCAGCATTCAATGATAAAGTGTTCACTGATAAATGTAAATGCGTGAATTATTGTATTGTAACTAAATAACTTCTGTAGCTCTGTCTACATGAAAAGTAGAGGAAAAAGTCGACAATATGCTTGCTTTCATTGTTGTGTACGTATAAAAATGTTTTGTGAAGTTGCAAATACTGCAGCATCTATCACAATGCAAAATGGATGACATGTTCATAATACTCTGAATAAGTGATTAACAGCATTTGTTTCCAGCAAGGTTCAACACACTGAGGAGTAAAATGGACAGAACTGGAATTTGTATTCTGGAACCAAAATGGTAGAATTTCAAGTATTTGCAGCAAACGGTTGTATATCACAGCTCTTTCATTCAATAAACAAGGGTGACGGGGAAAACCGATATTGAATTATTTCTATAAATTGGGTAATATTTGAACCTACATAGATGTTAATGAAATATACAGGTATCTGGACATTTACAGTGTACATTAAAGTTAATACAAACTATGTATTTGCCAAGAGATGATAATTTGTCTGTTTGGAGCCAGAAGGAGATTAACTCATATACTTTAATACAGAGTTAACGTCCTTCTGGCTCCATACAGTACATACAATGTATTCTACACCAAGAGGTACATGTTACATAAGAAGTTTTAGGACAGCTTGGTCATGATGAATACAATGTAATCTACTCCTTAATCCACAGGTGAATGATTACAAATCAACCCTGCTTAAGATTTCAGGTACCACTTTCATGGGGGAAAAGGTGATGATTTTTAAAGAAATATTCCAAGGATAAATCACTAGTACTTTAATTGTCTTGAATAATATTGTATTAAATACTCTAGTACTAGAACTCTGGAGATCCATTATAGTACCAAGGAATTTAGATGGAAACTTTTTTGAAGTTTTACACCTCAATTCCACAACATTTCCTCTTTGTTTAAATGTATAAGCCTCATACATGTTTTTGTTTCCCATGACTAGGCTGCATATTCAAAGCACAGCCACAAAGAACATCTTAAACCTGAGGTAAATATCATGTTCCTAAACCATACAGCAGTTTACTTCAACATAACTACCATTTCCCTTTTCAGTTTATCTATCTGAAGCATTAAATCATGCACTTGTTGAAAACTTCATTAATAAACAATTCATTTTTTTTTTGTCTTCATATATAGAAAATTAATTGATTCAAACCTTTGAGGTTTAGACAATAACATTCTCTCAGTACTCCTTTCCATTTTTGGTTCAATTTTGATAAATACTTTTGACCACTTTCTTTCAAAATAAACAAACTTTCAAAAAGTCTTGAATTCATTTCAATAGTTTTTTCTTAAATAGTTTCTGCTTTGTAAATATATTGAACAACTAATGCAATTATGATTCTTTAAGCATTAAGATTTTCCTTTTCATAAATCTGGAGTACTCTCATACAGGAATACCCAAAGAATATTTTCTGTACACTTAAACTAAATAGTAAGAGAAGCATCAACTTGAAAGAAAACATAAAATAACCATCATATTATCAAAGATACATGTATCTACAGATGAACAGAAAATCTTGTTACAATTCATAAACCCAGCTTTTTGCAGATTATTCACCATCTTCATCTTTTCTTCAAAAAACAAGGCAGCATTCTCAGGAACATTAAAGGATTCCAAAAGGACACTTGAAGAAAAAAAGAAAACCCAAAATATTTGTCAATCTTTGTAGAAAAACAAAAACAAGGAAGAAAGCTTGCTACCAGCAACAAATAATTCGTTTGACTTCAACTGCTTTGCTTTGGCTGTTCAAAAAAAAAACTTTGGTTCTCACTGTTCAACATGATTGTGCAGAGATGCTACACTCCTAAACATAAAGTTTCACGTTACTTCTTGCACCGGACATTTATTTTTGGTTGCTCAAAAAGCTATCTGAGAGGCACAAAACATACAGGTAGAGTGACTGGTCTCGTGGATAAAGTATCATTTTAAGACAGAAACATAAATCTTGAGCTTATTGGGAGGCTTCAATACAATTGGAATTAGTGTTCCATCAAGTAAATAGAACTAGTGCTATGGATATTCTACTCATGATAATTTATATTACCCATCTTGTTACCTTGTGCAGTATCCTTTGATAGTATATATTGCAGTAATTGCATGTCAGATTAAAAAAAAGAACACTGACCAAACAAAGATTGGTGGAGACTAGACTATTAAAGAAAACTATTTTTGACAATTCCTAACCCTAAATACCCCTTTGTAAAGGATAATAGTAAAGTCTATGTGTTTAAGTATGTGTAATTAAGCAGCACCATCAGTTGAACTGATTATTAATGGAATGTAATTTAATTTGACTGCAGAAAAAGAGATTATAGGAATCTTAATGTTATGCTGGTATACGGGAAACTATCCTTTTCATATACAACCATTATGGTAACCCAACAATACACACATCATCTCCTTGAAAACATGAAAACACACACTTGTAGCACCATCTTCCTTCTCCTCAATCAAAATTGCAAGACATCATGGCATTTTTGCACAACGTACAGAAACTATCTCTCTCAAGATTTCAAAATTATTGAGTATTAATAAAAGAGAGGACTATTGGAACTCCCTATGGTCATTCAGATACGACTGGAAAGAAAAATGTAACTGTGCAGTATCTAACTATTATTTCACACATTGAAGCTTATTGCAAAAGTGGAATTAAGTATCCTTTATGGCAAGTATCTGTAAAAAATAAAAAATGAAAGTAAAAATACAACTTTCTTTAAGACATACATTATTGTCAGGAAAGTCACTCGAAATCATACGAACATAATGTAGAGCAGCATTTCCTTTTATTCATCAAAGAAAATAAAACAATTTGGCAAAAAAAATGGATGTACGTTTTTAATGATTTTACTCGGTCTAATTCTAACTCATTTCAGAATAATGTAATCTATCAAAATGGAGGGATTTCATTGTGAAGTAGAATACATAAAACCATCAATTCGTTCCAAAAAATGTAAGCATGAAGATTGCTTGTCGACTAATTCAGCCACAGATAAGCAAAATTTCCCTAATATCTTCATTGTTTTTAATAAAAACTGACAGTGAATGTTACAGGGATGTTTATTATCCCACCTCAAAATTGTACACAAGTGTATTTGTCTTACTTGTTTTGCACAGGAATTGCAAGATAGCTTGTTTAGAGTTGTGTAATTAAAACAAATATGAATAAACAATGGTAAAAAGCAACGTTTAGACATCAAGACTTCAAAGAACACATTTCTGAGAAATCTAATGTTTGGTGGCTTTCAACTTGTTTTACTTTTGATAAGTTAAGAAGTATCTGTTTTCCATTTCTTGGGATCTTTTCCCAACCTGAGCTCCTTAACACTTGGCAATAATTATAAAAAAATTCCTTTCACTTAAACACTCATCTGATGTCTGTACATCAGTAACAATAAACAATGGAAGACTTAAAACTTCATTGGTTCATCTTCTCTTCTCTTTGTGATATGTCAGTCCACTTCTTCCTTTCTTTCCTCAAATAAACAGATCCATTGTTTTACTTCAGTACATAAATGTACGCTTCCCACTTAAAAAGTGAAGTTTGATGCTAGGTGCAAAGTTTTGATGAAAAAGGTTGGGTAAATGTACAAAGCTAGTAGCGATTGTTTCATTCGAACTGTTTCCTTTCATTCCTTTGTGGTTTCAAGCAAAATGGCTCCATCCAATGACAAACATACAGACCAGAGAAAAGTCTTTTCCTAGCAGCGAGATGAATCTCTATCCATATGACAGTTACAGCTTTGTATTATCCATCACATGTCCGATACCATTCACCTCCACAACTTCATCCTCTTAGGGTATTTCAGACAAATGTGAGAGATGGAGAGAAGAAAAAAAAGAGGAACCTCCAAACTCTGTTCTTTGTCAAAAGTCCTGATACATCGATTGCAAAAATTTCACAGCGTGACTCGGCAGTTGTTTTCGCGATTAAAAAAAAAGGTTGACGAAAGCAATTAAACGAGTTCACGATCACACTTCAAGACGGCATTGCCTTGCACACACGGACCCACAGGAATGACGGTTTTTGTGTCGATGAGCGAAAAAGGAGAAGGGGCAAAACGGGGCTTCTTTGTCGATATCAAAATGGCACAAATGCTAAGCGCGTTCCATCTCCCCTCATTGATTGTCTCCCTTTCTGTCCATTATCTGTCTCTTCAATAAATGAAAAATGTCTGGCACTTTGGTTTAAACCGAACTTCCATCCCTGATGACTGAGGTACGGGCAGGAGCTGACTCTGAGATGGGCGAGGATTTCCAGCTTTCAAAAAGTCGTCGGATGAACGATCTCCGATGTGGGTCATTCCTTCGGAGGCTCTGAAAGATGAGAAGAAAAGAAAGAAGATTGCGATTAATTATCAATTTAATTATCTGAATTAAAGAAGTAGACTATCCTTTGATAGCCCTGCTAGCTTGTTTATCTCTACTTTTAACCATCCTCTAGCCTTTTCAACACATCCTTACATTTAGAACATATCCTTTAATAGTGATATGAAGTGATTAAAGGGTCAATGATTCAAATGGCAGATATACAAGAATCAAACAGTTCTCTTTTTGTGGATTTTCTGATTAGCCTGATTTTGATAAATGCTCAAACAGACAGTACAGGGTTGCCGTAGAAACACACAAAGCCAAGATACAAACAGAACCCAGTTTTCAGATACAACCTTGATACTTTTCAGCCATGATTTAACACATTCTATTTTCATCCTATTCAAACTCCCTTTTCAGACAAAAAATTTCCATTTCATGGGCAAGGTATTTCATTACAAATATACTCCACAATAACTATACAGATCTAACCTTTGTGTTCATGGGCATTAAATTTGACACAATACGTTTCAAATAAAAGACATTCAATGAACCAAGACAGTTTTGAGTCTGAATGCATTTTTTTTCTGTCAAAACATAAGTTTGTGTCCCATCAGTTCAAGCACGGAAACCTTGTCTGCTTTATTTGCAGAGTTAAAATATTTCAGTTTCACCCCCTGTACTGGTTTCAAACAACATTTATAAAGAGACTATAACTGTCTCATTGAATCATTTTTTTTCTTCTAGCATGGCACGTTTGCGTGACTGTTCAATCAAGCAAATATTTCAAGGGTGGAAAATAGAAATACATACAGGTATATAAAAGGTCTTTTATCTTCCCCATAAAAAAAAGATGCAAGGACAAAGAAATAATCTCCTTTCAAACCATCATACATTTCTTAATAAAACTTAATATGAACCTTTGAAGTAAACATCGGACATACATATTTATAACCAGCACAACTGATAAAAAAAGGGCTATGAACCATATCATTTCCTTTCTGAATCTGATCGAGTCAAATACTGTTTGATTGACATTTGATACTAGTTGTTTATTCAGAGCTTTGTTTTGCATCATGCAGAGTGTAAATACCGATCAATCTTTTGTTTGCTCTACTCTTATCATAGCCGCTGTGAAATATTTGCATGTACATGTATAAACATATACCCTAGTTTTACAAGAACGGAAACATGAACAACACAAAGTATAATAGCTTCCTTTCATGCACATTGCATACCCTATAAAAGAATAAAAATAGAGGATGTGCTGTTTATATTAATGCTCAGAAATACATTTGATAAGAAAATAGATGTACATGAAATGGCTTATTATTTGTATTAAGATGCTGAATGTATTTGGTCTGTTGGTTGGGAAGAAAAAGTGAATAATAATATTGCGTTGTTTATACAGTATGATGGTCTTATGTACTTGCGCTTTTTCTTTCTAAATCTTCCTTAAGGTCCTTGCTATATTACTTACTACAAACCATCAGATTAAAATGTGAATATGATACGAGAATAAACATGATTAAAACTTACCCTTTGGCCTTCGAACAATGCCACAAACTCATCTCCGATCCGTCTTAATTCTCGGCCGGTAGCAATCTCTGGGGCGACGGGTCTCGCTGGGGCCGAGTTGGCTCTACTACGACGGATCGCTACAACATCTGGGAGGGGCTCTGCAGCATTGTCCCCTGCTGGTTCATTTGGAGGGACCGTTTCGGGTACAGCGCTACCCTCGGAGAAGAAGCGGGTTCTTCTGGATTCTGTAAGACACAAATGGAATACAACGGTCAAATATGCATGTAGGACTACGGTTATGATATGAAGTATACATACATGTACATGTACATCCAGTTGAAACCAACACAATCCTTTGTGTCATATAGTATGGAAGTGTACACAAGAGTGTACATGTGTATAAACACGGGATCCCTTTACCATGACACCATTGATGGAAAAATGTTTAGCAATAAATACAACATTCAGTCTCTTTCTTTTCTCAAAATAATACAACAAGAGACAAAGACACAAAGACGAATGAATCCAGTGGACCAGTATAAACAAGAGTATAAACCTATACAGACCACACAATAACTAGATATCTCAATGTTATTGTTAACAGAACACACGTACTTCCTGACGTAGCCATGATATCTGATCTACCATCCACCGATATACAGGCACAGATAGGTGGTCTCAACTTCATAGTGCAACGCAACAAATTCTATTACCTTATCCAAGTACAATCATATAGCAAACTGACTATTCTATGCTCTACCAACTAGCTTTTCACTGCCCACTCAATAGCGAGCCTATTGTTCACATGCCCACACCCTTTCGACCGACCACACCGGTGACTTATGACTAATCATTGAAACAGAAATAGCCCCATTACACGGAGGCCCAGTGAGTGAGTGTATAGAGGATTGAACGTGGCCAGCGCACCTTGAGACTCTGCACCCATTGTTTGGTAATGATGACTTGGATCCAGTGGCATCACCACCACTGGCTCCCCCTTCCTGGTCCAGAAAGTCTCCAAGTCTCTGTCCTACTATGATGAGTTCAACAACTCTCTCTTATTGTCTTAGGTTAGGTATCCACAAGAGGTCTAAGGGATGATGATGAGGCATTTCTCCTTAAAACATCTCCAAAGAAGTTTCATTTCTTATGCAGGCAGGAGGTTGTGGTTTGGGTTCGCTCCGCAAGTCAAGTGTCATTGACTGGAAGATGCAATTGTGCGGGTCGCTATACGAGCGGATACTAGTCTTCTCACTGCCACTGTTCTACGTCCAACTGACGTGACTCACAGTGAGCTGGTCCTCAAGTATTGTTTTGGTCCTGGAGTCATAACAAAGAGGACCTTGGGTCTTTCTGTCACTACCCTGGGACAAGGGGATTCCCGATGATGCAACTAGACAGTTCTATCCCAAAACACAGAAGTAGGCAGCCCAAACCCTTGTTACACAGATTTTTAATGGAGAGTTCAAATGCCTGTCCAAACCTGCCCCAATTTTCTTGCACAAAGGCTGTGCAATAATTGTTCAAACATTGAGAATTGGATCAGAGGATGGAGAGAGTGAGAGAGAGAGAGAGAGAGAGAGAGAGAGGGGAGGGAGAGAGAGAAAGAGAAAGGCAGCTAACAATAGGATAGAGAAGCAAAACACATTGATCTTAGCATTATCATGCTAATCAGCTCAACTCATTACAATGGATTTTTTTCTTCTCTCCATTGCCACTCAAATAAACAAAGAACATTTAATCAACCTTTCTATATATTCTATTTTTATTTTAACTTCTTGCTTGTTACTCTCTTCCTATTGGCCAATACTTTTCATGTACATTCATGCATTACCTTGCACTGTGTTTACTTGGGTTGCGTACTCTTGCCTGTCAATCAATAACAATGATGTAGTCTTTGTACTATCCACTCATTTGTCCTGTTTCTTTCTTCTTGTTTAAACAAGTTTACCATGCTGCCATGAAGAGAATGGATCGAAACAGGTGATAGTCAAATACAAGCACTATTATAAAAATATATTTATATGTCTCAACATGTCTCAACTTTCATCAATTTTCAAAAAAAATATACAAAAATCGCCTCTCCCTCTTCTTGAGGTCTGATTTGGTAGACTATCAATGCCATTGTGGATAGTGTAGGAGACAATGCAAAGAGGATAAAGTCATTGTGTATGTTTATAACTGGATGATTGGTTGGAGCTATCATGCTCTAGCTGGCTGACTCATTAGCATACAATGATGCAGGGAGGTAGATGGGGCGTGGCCCAAACCCCAGCCGCTCCGCTCAGAGGAAGGCCATGGGTGCTGCTGCCGCCAAACTATACTAGTCAACTGTGACCCGCTTCTAGAGGATAAAAACATCCTCTCCTCTACTTCTTCACCTCTCCTTTCTCTCTCCTTGTCATTCTTTCCCCACTATCTCATTCTTTCACTCTCTCCCACTCCACTTTATATCTATCTATTCCCTTCTTCCCTCATACTTTCCCTCTCAATTTGTCCCCCTTTCTTGAAAAGTCACCTAGGATCTGTTTCTCAATCACACTGGGGGTTTCCTGTTATATGCAAATGATTCTTTGATCTACCACATAGGCACCTTTCTCCCCTCTCCAAACTGTCCTCCTTAATCTACCAGTAGTTGTATTTTCTGATCTTCTTTGAATGATTTAAATCTTTTTTTATTGCTTGCTCATCAAGTATGGTCCACTGGGTTAATGGTTCCATTGTGGGCAATTATATTCCAGTAGCATGAAAAGAATCTTCCCAATTCTCGCCCCCACTTTGAACTGAATGCATTCAATAGCAGGATTAAAATGTGATATCAATCCTTTGCCCCTAATATATCGACACGGTTCTATTTACTCTTTATAGTGTACCTATCATTTGGTGAGAATAATTCCATAGCCACAGGCTAAAAGATCGATTCAATGAACATTAACAGGTATTTACCCTATTTCCACATCAGATGATTACAAAATCTCCAAATAAAGTGTTCTATAATAGCATCACATCACATTTTGGTATCCCCAGAACATATATTTCCAAATATGGTTAATTTTCAGTGCTGGTGTAATGGCCTTATTCAACTGGATATTGCGCAACATTATGAGCTTTTAGGTCCCTGGGCATACAGACTGACCTTCAGTAAAGAGACTTCAGCCAGATTTTGAGGTCACAATATGATAGGATATCATTTCATGCAGAGCTGGGGATCTATTTTTACTCTCAGCCTCTCAGATCCCGACACGTGGCCGATATCGTATGAACACGTCCACATACTTGACACAGCTGATGTTGCCAAATACTGAATGCGTGATTATCAACTCATTATATCTGTTGTTTTTGCGGTCACATACTGTTTAAGTACTCCTGTTTAAAGCATGTGTATGAGGAATTAACTGTATGCTAATCATAATTAAAAGAGACATACATGTACATGTATCTACTTCATTCTCTTTTAAGTTCTTTCAGTTTTTGAATGGGATCCTGCTTTATAGCTAAAATTTATAGACCTACAGTATGACATTGAATTTAGAAAATGACAGTTTAATGCAGGCCTGCTAGAAATTAATGCTGTCAGATTAATGTTGCAATGAAAATATTGACATCATTATTCAAAGTGATATTAAGATATAAAACAACTTCCTGCAGTGTGTACCTGTAACTTTATGCGTTATGTGTACCTGTAAAACTGAGGAGCACCAGTACAAATATGATATTTATTATCAATTTAACCAAATAACCTTGGTGAAATGGTTTTGTTTATTTTAGAAAAGAATACATAATTCACCTCAAGCAGCAAATAATGGTGTAGTTTATCGCTTTGTTTTGCTTTAGTAATTTAGACTAAGATCTCCTCAAAATCAATACCTGGCTGTTCAAGGTAAACTGGAGCCTGCCATACAACAATACCCATACAAGATACAGACTTCTTCACAACAAATTCTATGTATAAACATGACATAATGAGTATTGGCAAGCCATAGAGGGATCTTTAAAAGCACCGAGCTGATCAATAATAAACAATGGTTCCCCTGCACTGTGACTGAGTGGCCCCAAAACACGAGTCACAACTTCACGTACTATTGATTACTTAGTCTGTCATGAAGCCCATTATGTCCAGTCTCGGAATTTCAAAAGGACTTTGATTGTGGGGTTATAGTCCCGCTTCGCATTGCTTGCAAAGGCGTTGCCACATACCAAAATTTGTCAGGGGGCAAAAATTCCTTGTTCTGTTTTGAAAACACAAAATAAATCACTAAAGCCAATACCATTTTTTGTCGATCTACTTCAGTAGAAATATTGATTTTCTATGATACGATGCATTCCAGTCATTGCTGTCATGCATATTTCAACGATTAATTCCTTACTCATAATAAATGTCTGCTAATGCACAGCATTCCTTAAACCTGAGTGTCTATTTGCAATGACAGTCCAACAGTGACTGGATTTGTTTACATATGATGAAATGTCTATTTCAGAATATGGTCTATGTACATTGCGGTAATTAATAAAAGAGGAAATATGATTTTCCCTTTCTTGGCATGAAACCAATAAGATTCACTCAAACTCATCTGTGCGGCTGTGCCTCACCACAAGTTTGGTCTGATTAAATAATGACTGGTCATCATTAAAAGATGATTAAACCATCATCGCATTGCTTGGCAATGTGTCAGGCACATAATCAAATCATGACCACATTCTTAATTGCCCAAATTATAAGTAGCAATAATCATATAGGAATAAATCTACACCCTTCTAAATTGGGCAATTACATAAATGAAATAAAAACAGTTTATCTAAGCAAAGAAATTTTAGAAAATAGAAGAAAAAAATAAAGAAATTAATAGCTACCCTTGGCTTTGAGCCAAAGTGTAATCTAACCTTGGAGTTATTAAGGTAGCTGTAAATAGACTCTCTAGCCTCATTACTCTTGGGTAACCATCTTCTGGGTGTTTACAAAAAAGAAACCTTGACCTTCCTCAAAAGTCAAACTGACCCTATTTGTGTTGTCTAAGGTTGCGTTTATCTAGGAAATTTTTGGCTAGAATCAGGTTTCTCAAACGTCTTTCAGGCAAATTTAGAAGTAGATAAACGCAAAGCCTTTTTCAAACGTCTTTAGATATGGGCATATCAAAAGACGCAAAAAGGTGCGTTTTGTATGTGACATACAGCCAGAATCACGTTTCTGAGAGGTCGATAAACGCAAAGCTGTTTTGAACGTCACATACAAATAGGACCACACAGGTGTTGTGTACAAGCATGTGTGTGAATTTGACCTCCGAGAAACTGTCTGCTTCCCGGGTCAAAACAGCTGGGCAGACACAAGGCCTTTATTTTGAATCGTGAAGAGTAGATAAACGCGACATCCCGCAAATCACGATCGTATAGTGGGGTATGATAGTGGGGTTCGATAGTGGGGTACGATATGTACATATCTAGTGGCAAGCCTAGATAAACGCGCTCTAATTCTATCACTATATAATGAGGGTTACTGAAAAGAACTGAAATAGATAATGTTGACTCTGGAAAGGGACAGAAATTTCTGTATGATAAAAATGTAATGTGGAGCAATGAGTCCACAGGAATCAGCACATGGCAATGATAGCATACAAAGTACGCCAGATCTCTCTTTGCCTCTTAGTGTTATTTTCATAAATGTTCCACTTCTTTCAATACTTTTTTCTCTTTCTGAGGAGAGGAAGGAGGGGGGGGGGGGAGTGGGGCCAAAAATTATACCGTCAGTCTAATTTGACTTGTAACAAGTCAAGCAGATGAACCTCTAACATTACATATTGATAAAGAGCTTGTAAAACAGTCTTGCTCATCAGAGCCATTAGATTGATCAAGTTCCAATATATTCCATGACTCCAGTGCATCAGTTCCTTCAGAAAGTACATTGACATTTGAAATCCGACCTGATTCTGTTTGATTATACTCCATGGTGTCATGTTTAAGAAAGTGATAGATACGGAAACAGAGACTTACTGAAGCTGAGGGGGAGGGCGATCATTAATAAGCAATGGAAAGATAGTCTTTTTTTTTTTTGGGGGGGGGGGGGTGCATATTAGATCTCTGGAGAAAAAGCAATGGAGAAATGACTCCCACCCCCCCCCCAAAAAAAAAAAGAAGAAGCTTGTTTCCATCAGCTGGAGATGCGATCACCCTCCGAGAGTAAATTATTCATTCCAAAGGATGCAGCCTCCCTAGCCTTAAACAGGTCCCCTGAGGACTAATGGAGATCTGTTACACTTTGCCAATTTGATACTTTACAATTTGATTAGCCAGAGGAGCGATTTGCGTGACAAACGGTACTTACGAGCAGAGGCAATATAGCTCAAATCTATCCATCCATCCATCTCTTGCTTCAGGTTCAAATTCACCCACACAAACAATTAACCTTTTTAGAAACAATTTCAATCTCCTTTCTGCTGTCATCTGATTCCAATGTTACCACTGTATCCTCAAAGTAGACTGATAAGCTCATTGCACAAGAAAATGAATACCAACCGACAACACATTTCGCCCCAAAGAAAATATTCTTCAAATCACAAGACGTTCTCAAAAACTGAACGAGACAAATCAATTGTTTAATTGTTACTGGTAATCATAAACTTTGAAAACATCCTAAACCTTAAAAAAAAATCTATTAATTTCAGCATATCAGCAGATGCAAGCATTTCTAAAACTGACTACCAGTAATTGTGAAGAGAAAAGGAGATCACATTTCCTGACCTCTAGAGCCAATGGTAATGTCCGCTTAAGTGGTGGTGATTATGATACATTACAAAACACAGAACAATCAGACTGAAACTTCAATACTAATTACATTCAAACATGTGGAAGCAACTTTTGCTTGCAAAATGAGCTACGTGATGCATGACTTGTCTCTATAAAGAGAAGACATACATGTACTCCACAATAAACTAAGTACCTAAGCATATACCAGCTAAGATTCACATGACCTACCTCTATCTCCCATCTAAAACAAAAATAAAAAAATACTATAACTGAAGATTTTTGTTTGCATAACTCTTTAATTTAGAAGCTTGGATATAAAAAGCCCAATTGGCCTCGGCTCAATTGTTTGGTCATTAGCTGTATGCACCTCTTGACCCAAGATCTCTCCACTTCTATATTAATCTTCATATTTGTTTTCATTTGATCAACAAAGCACACCTTGATTGTGTTTATCATTTAAACTTTGAAGTGAGTTTTTGAATGTCTCCAAATGGATTGAGTAACCCGTTTTTATCAAATGCAGAGCACTATGAATAGATGGATGATCAAAACTCACCTTCACAATACCGTTGTCTTCTGAGCCTCAATTGTTCCTGAGGGGAGAGCGACTGGTCCTGCTCACTGGGCGAGTCAAACAGTCGTAAACTGATCGACGTCTCCAGCAGGACTGGCGAAAGGGGCGGAGTCTGGGTTGAGGTACTCTGGAAGAACCGCGGTGCCGACCCGTACCCCGACGAGAGCGGGGAGGTTTCTTCCGGCGAGGAAAAGCGGTACATGTAGCTGAAGGAGCTGCTACGGGTTGGGGTCCCTATGAAGCTTCCTGAGTTACCTATCGGACTGAGGCGTGGGATAGGGATTGGCGGGGAGGTTCCCGTCATGATTGGTGTCTCTGGTCGCGAGCTCGAAATGTCCGATGGCATGTTGTCAGTGAAGGCATCCAGCTCCTCCTCGAGTATCTCATCAACACCACTCTCATCTTTTGATGAAAGTTTCATTTTCATGTTCGTTTGGTCCATCTGCATGTTACCCGGTTGAACAACGCGGGCAGAGGGCGCCCCAGGGCCGTTGCACACATCAACGATCAGCTTCCTGCACGACTGATCGCCACTGCTTCCAATACTACACACCGACACCTCCACGCTGTTGATTCCACGCAGTGGGGTGCTTACATGTATTTCAAGTTCACTCATAATACAGCAACAGATCTCTGCCAAGGACAATAAAAAAGAAAGGAAAATGTTAAAATGTTAATTCTTTTGCTTCAAATAGGTTCACCATGAGTTTAAACTAATTTCATTGTTTACAATCCTTCACATCATAAGTCTTTGCGGCTTCACCACGACATAAACAAATAGCCTCTGTTTGTATCTTGCTCTTTCAAGCACACTCACAACAAAAAGAACTGGTCTTGGAGGTCACTCACTGTGCTCCTTGAATGTTCCAAAAGCTCCATGCGCAAAGAAGAGACAATGTTTAATCCTTCTAAACAAATTCATCATATACAGTTGTACATGTAATCACAATTACGAGGTCTTAATTCAGAAAGATGCCTCGAGATCAGATATCACTAAGTACTATCACACCAAAACTGGGTCATTAGAGCATGAAGTTGCCAGTGCACACCAAAATCTAAAACCACTCAGAATATGATGACATAATAAAAAGAGTTGCACAATCCTTCAATTTTTCAGCTCGCTGTAGGAAGGATTCAGGTCCTTCCAACTCCATCTCTTGCTACCATTGAGCTTCACATTTAATGTAATCAATCTGCACCTCATACCACCTATGACGTAAATGGTATACTCCATCACTGTTATTTTCTTTCTTTCTGGCCCAGCCTTGAAATTCATGTCTGGACTTGTCCATGTTGGGCACGAGCCACCATTGTTCCGAGAGTGTGACTACCAGATCATGAACTTAAAGGGCTTGGTGTCTTTTCAACAATTAGCTTGCTCGGGAGTATGCTATTTACATAACACAGCTGCACAGTTTATTTATTTCTGTCCCTTTTACTGACACTGAAATGAGTTCATGACGTGGGTAACAATAGACACAAAAACAATCAGTGTGAACCTTTATATCTACAAACTTCCATGTATTGCAGCTAAGCCTATACTTAGAGAGGACAAGAACTATTCTCTCATCCAATTCCCTGAATGTTCCTTTTTACTGTGGAGGTGTTATCATTGTAAACAACTCTTATAACATCTTTAATTTGCCATCCTACACAGATAATATGCAGATCATCTCTTTAATACACAATCATCACAATACATGCTTAATCAGCAGATTGCCCCTTTAAGACCCCTGGAAACTGTCAACGGATAAATCCCAAAATATATTATCAAGTGCTCCTCCAAGTCCAATGCCTAGTTTATGCCATGAAAACATAAATTGCAAAGTGATTGGAAAGAAACCGATTGTCCATCCCTGGCACCTACTTCCTTCGCGTGCTTCCCTCCTTGAACCCAACCCGCTTGGCAACCTGCCAAAAATCTTTTGTAGTTTGGAGGAGATTCATCACAAAAGTTTTGGTCAGGTGGATATACGCTTTTAATATCCACCATCTACTTCGCAGTAAGTTTTCCGGGAGATGGAAAAGTTTTGAAAAAGCCAGGGTGATGTATAACTTTGCAGGGACTTTGCACCTGGCATAAAAAAAGTTATTTTCATGACCTTATATGTGCTTTTTCTACAAGACCTTCTTCAAAGCATATGATGCCACTGGCCACCTGAATGATGAAATAATCATATTTGCTTTACTTACATCGTATATATGAACTTTGCATTCTGCATTCATGTTATATGATTGCAGGGTCCTCGGGCGGAATATTAATACTGATGATAGAGGCTACCCTGGGTAAACAGGACATATTATTATTATTATATTGGAATTCACTTGTGATACAGCCTTCACGATCCCCCCCCCCCCCCCAGTGGCCATAAAGTCGTAAAGTGACACTGAGCCATCATGATACTATCCGATGAAGACTGGTGTTCTTTTCTTGCGTTAGTTATACCATATTACAGATCAGGTGAACAGGTTATGTCAGTGTATCCCAGCTAATAAAAATGCGATAATAACCGGTGTAACTTTACAATTCATGAGTGCCATCAACCTTCACATCCCTGTGACAGCCCATTATCATTCTAGTGCAGACAGCTGAAGATATTTAGCAGTTTGGATATGAGGGCTATACACAGAACAATCACTCCCCCACCCCCAATATCTTGATTGGGTTGGATGAAAGTGTTCAGCAGATACAAGGGATACCTTTCCCTGAGGAAAAATGATATTTGTACAATACTGTAGTATTCATAATCTTGGGGAAAAAAAGTAGAACCGATTATCACCATCAAACACCACGCTCTTTAATTGCCCATTCGATGAAAGTCTTCTATGCTCCCTCGGGGGTATTACAACAATGGTGTCAGGACCCAAGGGCAATTACGATGATGTTGTTTAGTATCATCTCATTATTACGTATGATTGGTGAGGGTAATGCTACACCCAATTGGCAATGCCCAACACGACGTCGCCGTTGATTCACTGCCTCCCTTGGTCTGTCTCTCTACTCAACATACCAACGGACAACGCTCATGCAGCTCCTCTCTGTTTGTAAACAATTTGAAGTTCATAAGAGGTAATGATACTGATGTCAAAATATTATTGGCAATCAGGAGTGTCAACAGTTTCAGATGGACTGTGGGAAGGAAATGGCTGTTGAGCTCATGACGCGAGAGAAAGGTAAAAGGGTAATCATGTATGATGCTGATAATTTGGAAATGATAAAAACTGAAGTAGCCCTTTGAAACAAATAAACAGGGCATGGGTTTGACAATTTTTATTAAGAGATTCTTGATATTATTAGTTTTAACTTATTATCTAATTCATAGTGTGCTAATATTCTACTTTTCTCATAATGAATTCCAAGTTAAAATTCTTACAGCCTAATTTAGAGAAAGAGAAAGAGAGAGAAAGAAAGGAAGAGAGATGAGGGAGAAATCAGCTGTATGTTCACAGGTAGACGATAGACATACTACAAATATCAGGAGAGAATAATGCCAATCACCCTCGGACTACAAGTTCACACTTGGTTTTGACTTGCTGCATCCTTAGCTCCACATCTTCCAATCATCTGCATCCCTCCTCGCTCAGAAGACCAGAAATCACGATGACAAGTGCAGCTCACTGTCATGTTGCCAAATTTGTGAAGACAGACAGGTGAAGCGAGAAAGAAGGTCAGCGTCTTGCCCGGTCAAAACTTCACACACCACACGTTCCTCACACTCTCTCCATCTTGGAAGGTATAATGTATTTTCGAAAAAGTTTTTTTGGTGTTATTCAGTTCCAGACAATAACACCCTGGGAGCAGCAGGGGGCACCAGTGGGGTCTCCCTGTCAACAACTTGACCTGACAGCTGCGTGAAAACTTCCCAGGGTAACACTGTTAACCTGAGCAATATGGTCAGGTAGCCCAGCCTTCACAAACATTTTTCCAAATGAATTCAATTTAGAAATCAATGACCCCTCCCCTGATCGAGTAGAGGGGAAGTACATACTCAGAGACAAATGAAGAGACAATTCTCTTCGAATTATTTCATTTATCATAATGTGTTTGAGCTTTAAAGGGTTCAATGCATTTCTCTTTAAGGAGAGATACAAACAAATATGAATATAATTTGAGAAGATTTAAAAAGGAAGCTCAATGCTTTACTCACTAGCTTTGCCTGAATCACTTTTCCAAGAATCAATTTCCCAAGGCAACAAACAGTTTAATCCCCAGCCTTTCTAATCAGAAGTAAGGACAAACTCATTGTTACTCTATTTGTATCTGAAAAGGTTTTCCATAGTCACACAAACAAAAAACAGGGACTGTGTTACATATACCGGTACTATAACTGAAAAACATCATAACACAGCTGTGAAACCAGGGACCTTCTGAAACATCCAGGGTTGAGAGAGAGAGGAAGGAGTAACTAAAGAAGTCTGAATCTCGTTTTCTCTTTGTCTGGAACTTCTTGCGGTCAGACCAACGAGACTGGAGTCCAGAAAGCAACCACAAAAACAGTTTTTAGTGCAGGGGAGACACCCAACCTCGGAGTTGCAAGCTCACAAGGAAGTAAATCTCCCCAATCTATAGCCTGTCTCCTCCTTTGATGAAAAACAAATCCCTTTCTAGAGAGAGGGTGACAAACAAGTCGGGCAAGGATTTAGAGCAAAAGAAGCTTATCTCCACTTTCTCTAAACTGAACGGCACAGATCAAGAAGCCTGATGGAGATCCACATGCATGTCCGTGTGTATCACCGGAAAAGGGCACTAAGGACAGGTACATGTACAAGGGCTCACTTCCTGACACCCGTCAAACTAATCTTTCATCGCGCTGCTCACTGCAAATTCACAAAAACAAAACAAATCTGCGAAAAACAATAAATCATCTCATTAGCACATCATACAGAAAAGGTGATACTTCACATCTAGGGATGCCCCTAAATGATCTACAGCCTTTAGAATAATGGGAGATAAGTGTGGATTATTAAGATATTAGAGAGAGGGAAGGGAAGGAGAGAGAGAGACAGAGAGAGAGAGAGAGACAGTTAGAAATATATATATATAGAGAGAGAGAGAGAGAGAGAGAGAGAGAGAAAGAGTGAGAAGGGGGAGGGAAAAAGGTAGATGGAGAGAAAACTGATATTACAGAGTGTGCAACCAAAATAATGTAAAGGGTGGGGCGGGGGGATATTGGACAATTTTCCTTGCAAAGACCTTTCCTACATGGACATGAACCCTGGTGAAAATGTAACGTGTGATTTCAAGACATTAAACACTCCCCCGGGATGCTATGGTCCTCAAAATGGATTACTCGTCCTCTTATCCCAGACAATAACAAGGAAAGGCTGAGAGGGTGGCTCTTGATACCCATTATGTCTAGAGTGATACATAACCTGCCCTCATCACGCAGCGAATGAGGTTACAAACAGGTTATGGATGCCACAGAGTTCACCAATCAATTACAATACTTTCCTGTTGTTCACACATTATTCAGAAGCGTTGTACATCATGTCCAGGTGCATTGCAAAATTAAACTGTAACACATACAGTATCAAAAAAAATATGATGAAATGAAGCCGCCTCCATGTTTTCTGTTTAAGAGAAAAATGGTTGCATTTGTTATGACCAAACAAAGAAATGAAATAAAACGCAT